GTTCTTCACTCAGCACCTCTCCCACAAGAGGCAGCGATGGCTGAAGTGTAGGCGGGTTCCCACAAGGCAAGACACAGTGATAACAGCAGGCATAGGCAAACTCGGCTCTCCAGATGCTTTGGGACTACAACTCCCATCATCCCTAGCTAACAGGACCACTGGTCAGGGATGACGGGAGTTGTAGTCCCAAAACATCTGGAGGGCCGAGTTTGCCTATGCCTGGATAACAGCAAGAACCTTTATTGAACTAACAGAACTGGACAACAGGGACAAAGCAACTGCTTATATACATTTCTGAAGGCCTGGGCTACTCCCACTCCCAATGTGATTGGCTGTCTAAACTTCCAAGCTGCGAATCATGAATCAGAGTTTAAGGGCCAATGGCAGAGGCCCAAATCCTGAAATGTCCTGTGAATGGGTATCATGTATTGAATCAGAACACAGGGGCTCAGAATCCTTAATCCAGGCTCAAGCTCAGGCAAACACAGACCACTGAATACATAACAATGGCCACCATCTTGGATGGTTTTGAAAGAGGATTAGACAAATTAACAGAGGATCAATGGCTATCAGTGCACCTAGTCATGATAGCTATTTCTGTCTCCATTATTGCAGGCAGCATGCTTCTGAATTGTAGTTGATGGAAACCACAGGAAATGGTGGTTCTCACAGTGGCCAACCAGATACGCAGGGGTAGCCCACATTTTAATGTATTTTTAATCTTCAATGTAATTTTAATGTATTTTTAATCTTTGTTGGAAACCACCCAGAGTGGCTGGGGAAACCCAGCCAGATGGGCGGGGTACAAATAATAAATTATTATTGTTATTATAAGCAGCACCTGAGCACAATTGTACCCCCACTTCCTGTGCCCTTTTTACACCTGGACTGAAAGGCTCATCTAATTTGACAGCCGTTATATCAGAGACATTCAATGAGGTGCCCTCCATACACTTCCACCTTCCCCGATCGCTTGGGACTGATGGGTGCTGGAGTCGAACAACATCTAGAGGTCTGTGAGTTCCTGGCCTTCAGCCTTAGGAACATTGCACCTTCTAGCCCACAGTTCTCTGTGGCCTCTCAGGCAGAGAGGGGGTTCCTTTCCCATCACCTGCTCCCCAAATCTTGGGGATGCCAGGCTTTGAACTTGCGGCCTTCTGGATGTGAAGCATGTGCCCCACAACCGTCTCTTCTTTCTGAGCCAATAGAAAACCTCCTTTCCAGACCCCAGGCTGGTGGCGAAGGCGAAGGCATTCTGAACAGGCTTAGCATCCTTCTCCGCTTCCTAAATTCCAGGAGAGAACCCTGAGGGGCACAGCATTCTGCAGAAGCAATGAGCCAGATTCACTCCAGATTCATTTGGGGAGGCAATGCCTAAAGGCACAGGAGTGGGTACACAACTGCATTGTGAGCAGAGGACAATGGCAAAAGGGACATGACCTCCGCTGTAGACACCACCTGCTCCATTCCTCTGTAACTCCCCCCGCCTCCGCCTTCCCGGCAAGGTCACATTTTGCGTCTTCGTTCCGGTGATCTATGGCGTCTCTGAGTTGCCCCGGGTGATGGACAGCTCCCTGTCCCTTCAACGGGCTTCTCGGTGGATGGCTGCCGATTATGGCTCAGCGCCTCCTTCTCCGAGGGAGAATGCGTGCCCCACAGATCTGCCGCAGCTGGGGGACAGGGATGGATGGCATCACAGATCGGCTCAGACGGCCCTTGGCACCGGCCCTGTGCCGCGGCTTCCAGTTGGAAGGGCACTAAAAAGCCCGCATTGTACCCACGGAGGAAGTCGGAGCTGCCAGGTGTCCCAGATCATCCTGGCCTACTGACTTGGCTCTGGTGGGTTGGGGGCTTTTTTTTCTCCCCCAGGACAAAATGTGAGGAGTGAGGTTTTTTTAACTAGTCGAGACCTGATGTACTTTCAGAGCCACACAGTCCTCTGCTTCATTTCATACTGGTGGTAATGAGGAAGGAAATGGGCTGGCAGAGAGAGAGAGAGAGAGAGAGAAAGGAGGAAGGGAGGGAGAAGCGATATACAGTGGTACCTTGGGTTGCAGGGTTAAGTACTTAATTCGTTCCGGAGGTCCTTTCTTAACCTGAAACTGTTCTTAACCTGAAGCACCACTTTAGCTAATGGGGCCTCCTGCTGCTGCCGCGCCGCCGGAGCACAATTTCTGTTCTCATCCTGAAGCAAAGTTCTTAACCCGAGGTACTATTTCTGGGTTAGCAGAGTCTGTAACCTGAAGCATATGTAACCCGAGGTACCACTGTAAGATTCCTTACCTTACCTTGTGTGTGTGCACAAATCTGTGTGTGGGTTGCCAAACTGGGTTTTTTGGCCCTGGGTGAAATAAAGCCTAGTTTCGCCCCTGCCCAAGGAAACTGTCCTTTCCAGAAAAACAAAATAAAATTCCACCAACCTTGCCTTACAGCAGCAGATCACTCCCTCCAGTCGTACAGTGGTGCCTCGCAAGACGAAATTAATCCGTTCCGCGAGAGTCTTCGTCTAGCGGTTTTTTCGTCTTGCGAAGCAAGCCCATTGACGGATTAGCGCTATTAGCGCTATTAGCGGTTTAGCGGCTATTAAAGGCTTAAAGTCTATTGGGATTAGCTGCTAAAAGGCTATTAAAGGCTCTTAAAGGCTTAGCAGATTAGATAAAGGGGGAAAGGCGAAAAAAAATCTCAAGACTCGCAAGACATTTTCGTCTTGCGAAGCAAGCCCATAGGGGAATTCGTCCTGCGAAGCAACTCCAAAACGGAAAACCCTTTCGTCTAGCGGTTTTTCCGTCTTGCGAGGCATTCGTCTTGCGGGGCACCACTGTACCTTGGTTTTTGAACAGAATGCATTCCGGAAGTCCGTTTGACTTCCGAAACGTTCAGAAACCAAGGCACGGCTTCTGATTGGCTGCAGGAGCGTCCTGCAGCTAATCGGAAGCCAGGGAAGTCACGCCAGACGTTCAATTTCAGAGGCAAAGTTCACAAACCTACTTCCGGGTTTGCGACATTCAAGTTCCAAGTTGTTCGTGAACGAAGCTGTTCGAAAACTGAGGTACGACTGTATTTGACCACAGGGGCGCTCTTGGAATCTCTCTCTCTTTTTCTCATGATTTTTATTAAAGTTTTTCACAATGCAATAAGATAACAGCTATGAAAAAACCCAAACAGAAGAAATAAAATTCAGAGTCCTCTGCTAAAGGCCATTCTCAGCCTCCACCACCCACAGAAGGGAGCAGCCCCTCTTGGCTCTCACCTGGGATCCTTCCTTTCTCCTCCCAGCCTCTTACCCTGGGAGTCCAACATTTTCCTGTCTCCCACCCAGGGTCCTTCATCCACCATCTGCCACCCTCAGGAGTACAGTGGTACCTCGGGTTACAGACGCTTCAAATTACAGACGCTTCAAATTACAGACTCTTCAGGTTACAAATTCCGCTAACCCAGAAATAGTACCTCGGGATAAGAACTTTGCTTCAGGATGAGAACAGAAATCAGGCAGCGGCTAAAGGTAGCTAAAGTGGTACCTCAGGTTAAGAACAGTTTCAGGTTAAGTTCTTAACTTGAGATACCACTGTATGCAATCCCTGGACCTTAGCAAAGGCTTCAGACATGGGACTTCAGACATGGGACTTTTCAGAGAAAAAAGAGAAGAAAGAAGAAAGAAAGAAAGAAAGAAAGAAAGAAAGAAAGAAAGAAAGGGAACTCTTGGAATTCTAAGGAACTGCTGTGGACACGCGAAACGACCCATTTCCCAGACGGAAAAACTGGTGATGCTCACGACCCTCCTTGTGGAAAAACTAGGCAAAACACCTACACCTCCCCCCTAACCCCCCCCCAATAAAACCAGGAGGAAAAAGCCAGCGACCACCCATGTAAACGAGCAGCCTCAAACCTGCCCCAGCAAAACAAAACCAAAAAATAACTCCATTACAAAAATAAAAATCTGAAGGTGCAGAGAATGTGCCATGGGTGTGCGTATCTGAGGGTGCTGTTGGCAGCTTTTTCCGCTGAACCTACATTTGAGGTGGGCCCAGGGCCTGTCCGCCCATGAGGCGAGGTGAGGCAGTTGCCTCAGGGTGGCTGGGCTCTGGTAGCCAGCTTCTGCAGAGAACACCATGCGCTTGTCAGCCTCCTGTTAAATTAGGGCTGCCATATTTCAAAAAGTAAAATCCAGGACACCCCCAAACTGTTGAACTTTTTAAAGGAAAAACCAAGGTTTTTTATACAAACCCCAAGTTATTGAGCTTATATATATATATGCCAACCCCCCCCCCATGGTTTTTGATGTATGGCGGCCCTAGTTAAATAAAATAGGATAAAATACTTTTCCTATGTGTGCATGTGCATACATTATTTAAAGAATCATATTGGGTGCAAGTCCTACTCAGAATAGACCTATTAAAAATAATGGCCGTACTTGGGCTCATTACTTTCAGCGGGTGTATGCTGAGTAAAACTTGGTTGGCGACGAGCCATTGCTATTTCCCACATGCAATCAATTAATTAATGGCTTGATCAATTCAGGGACTCGTATGATTAAATCAATCAAATTGTAGAAGTTAATTGGCTTACAGCACTAAGTTATGCCCTTTTAGAAGATCCTGAGGATGATGGATGTAAATTTAACACACATTGGCAGGACTCAGAGATTCTAGGAAAACCAGACCACACAGGCTAAATGGCCCACCCTGATCCATAGGACCTTACAATGCTATTTCATCAGTAATACACACAGTTCATTATATAACGTGATGATATCTATGAATCATTTAAGTCTGTATTAATAATTCATTTTAGTTTCAAAAAAGAAGGGGAGGGGGCCTTGCTGGTTAAAGGTGAACGACTGTTTAGGGGACATCCAAAATTACATTCAAATCCCAGAAGTGAAAACTGGGAGGAACCAAGGAGGAAATGTCCACCTTTGTCATGCAGGCTATGTGCAAAATGATCATAGAATTGTGGAGTTGGAAGGGACCATGAGGGTTTTCTAGGACAATGCTCTGCAATGCAGGAATCTTTCACAGGGCTCAAACCAACAGCCCTGAGATTGAGAGTCTTGTGGTCTACCAACTGAGCTATCCCAGGAAGTATTGCAATAAGAATAAACAAAGGCTTATCTGACAGGTGAAAACAATTAAACAGAGGGACGGTTAGTATTTCGCAGGAGAGATCTCGAGGTTTGCGCAATTAAAGTGGATCAAAGTGTGCTGATCCAGTTTGGAAAAGAACTGTTCTCTACAAAGGGAATGAAGCACTTTGATTGATAAAAGGGTATAAAGCTCCTGCTATACACTAACAGCAAACTCAGTTTGGTCGGCATCAAGACAGCATCACTTGTGTGAAAGAGGAAAGTATCGGCAGGCTTGAGCAGATCCAAAGTTGGCAGAAGCACCATTTTGCAATGGGGGGGGAATTAAGGAGGGGGAGAATCCCAAAATCAATCTAATGAGCACCGAAATGGCAACAAAATGCTTACTGACTATTGTGGGGAGGAATGAAAAAACCAGAAAACGTGGGAGGAGGAAGAATGGAATGGGATATCCTGAGAAATGACCGGGCTAGCTGGCTGGAATCCTGACCAGGAGCAGTCTACGCTGCAACGTTTTGTTGTAGGGTCGCAGATGCTGAACCACCACTGTCTGGGGTAAAATTCCTCTAGATAAGATGATCAGACCAACAATGGGGTCTTTATCATGCTGTCAAGTTTTCTCTAGAGTCCGTTGGATCTTCAGAGTTCTTTTCAAATTCTGGGCAGACAGTACAGGTCAATGACTCTCATTGCAGGCTCAATTTTATTTTATCTGACTTCCTAGAACCCCCAAAGGCTTGGACGTATATTTGCCAGTAAGAGTAAACCTGTGTACCTGCTGGATGGAAACGAGACTCCATTGCCTGGAACTGTTCGAGGGCAAGGATGTGTGCAGGATGAATATGTTCATTAAACTGTCAAGGTATAATGCTGGATTTTACAGCTTGAGTAACCAGTCCAGTGGCTGCAGCACGCCGTCAGTTACAGGCCTGCCTTTGCTTAATTAATGGTAAGGATAGATTGATAGGGCTGCCTTGAGCCAGGCGAAGAAAGAGGATGGCAAGGAGAAAGTTTATTCAAGTGAAGCAGGAAGTGGAGTGAGACCTGTCTCTGCCCCACCCTGACCCGGGGCATTCTGTCCTGCAGCTGTGAATCCAAAAGATCTGAACTCATGGTTGCAAAGGTGCGGTAGAATCGCCTTTCTTGTAAGTATGGGCTGAAACAATGAGAAGGAAATTTCCCCCTCTCAAGTGAGCTAGAGGAGCTCTACCCATGTTGAGCAGGGCTAAAAAGTGTGCTGGAGGGAAATTCAGATTTTAATGCACGTCTACCCAATTTGCACTTTCCAGCATTTTCATGTCTCCAGCTTTGGTGCAATGCAATTCTCCGGCCAAATAACATATACAAAAATTTGTGGCTATTGCAGGAAAGTGTTCCCCCTCCAAAATCGCATCTGAAAAGTGTTCTATTTGGGCACTTTGCTTGCAAAAAATGTGTATGTTGGGAGAAATTTGCATTAAGATGTCGACAGATTTGAAGCTTGGAGAAATGACAAACGAAGAAATCGAAATTGGCACATTCCATTCTGAGCTGCGGGTGGCGCTGTGAGCATCGGGATGCGGGTGGTGCTGTGGGTTAAACCACAGAGCCTAGGACTTGCCGATCAGAAGGTCGGCGGTTCAAATCCCCGCGACGGGGTGAGCTCCCGTTGCTCAGTCCCTGCTCCTGCCCACCTAGCAGTTTGAAAGCACGTCAAAGTAAAAGTAGATAAATAGGTACTGCTCTGGCGGGAAGGTAAATGGCGTTTCCGTGCGCTGCTCTGGTTCGCCAGAAGCGGCTTAGTCATGCTGGCCGCATGACCCGGAAGCTGTACACCGGCTCCCTTGGCCAATAAAGCACAACCCCAGAGTTGGTCACGACTGGACCTAATGGTCATGGGTCCCTTTACCTTTATTCTGAGCTGCAGGTGGGTAAGGGTGGGGCTGGTGAGAGGCAGCAAGGGGTTTGGGCTTGGGGAACCTTCCAACTCTATGATTCTGTGCTGGAGGGTATGATGATCCCGGCTAAGCATTTAACAGCAGGAAAGTTTGATGGAAACCCACATGCCTTTGCTTTGTCCTCACGCTCTTTAGGTACAAGAAAAATAATGGCCATGTTCTCCCCATCAATATTTAACCATATTTGCTTCTGCTGAGTAAGGCCACATCTGCCATCTGGGTGCTAATAAGCAAACAGCTTAAAAGGGGAATGTTTTCCTTTTGGCCTCCAATAGTCTGATCACATCTTCCCAGCCCTCAGATCCTACAAAGGATGCAAAGCTGATGTTCCTCTGCTTTCTAAAAATTATATTATGCACACACTTTGACTGTAGCCTTTCCACATTTGGCTGCACAATGTCATCAGGAGGCCTGTGGACTCAGCTTTTAAAATACGATTTCACTAAAAAAAAAAATTTCCCCAGCGTTTTGCAGCTCCTCTCGCTTTTTATAAAACCTGCAGGTTGCATTTGTTGTATTAGAAGGAATATTCCCCTCCTAAGTGAGAGAATAAAGGAGATCCCTCTCCATAGCTGGCTTCAGATATCATCCCTGCCTGATCTGCAGGTTCCAGCACCATCTGTCTGGTCACAACCTGCAGGGATGCCAGATAACTCTGACCAAAACAGAAGCAGGAGCGGCAATTGCCGATTTTTGCTTATTCATCCCATGACCACAAAAGAAATCGATCCAGCAAATGCAATCGTCATTCGCCATTGTTGCTTTCGGTCCGCGATCAACACGTAATTGATTTACAGCGCCCCACCATTTGCTTTGTGTTTCCTTTGTGATGAAATGACGTTTATATAGATATAGCTCTAAAATAGGAATGGGAAATACACAATACAGTGGTACCTCGGGTTACAGACGCTTCAGGTTACAGACTCTGCTAACCCAGAAATAGTACCTCGGGTTAAGAAATTTGCTTCAGGATGAGAACAGAAATCGCGCGGCGGCGGGAGGCCCCATTAGTTAAAGTAGTACCTCAAGTTAAGAACAGTTTCAGGTTAAGAACGGACCTCCAGAACGAATTAAGTTCTTAACCCGAGGTACCACCGTATACCTGCTAGCTTGTTTTGTTCATCAAATCCAGTAACTGGTTGAATACACAATGCAACCTTTAAGGCACATTCAAAGCACATTCCCCCCCTCAAAGAATTCTGGGCGCTGTAGTTTACCCCTTACAGATTTACAATTCCCTGCAGCCCTTCACAAACTACAGTACCCATCTCTCTCTCTCTCTCTCTCTCTCTCTCTCTCTCTCTGTGTGTGTGTGTGTGTGTTTTGAATGTGTTTTAAGGGTATAGAGCATATGCAGCCTGTGAAAGGGCAATTTGTCTGTGAAGAAGACCTGCTGCTTCTTTCCTTTAGGCAACATTCCTTCTGTTTAGTTTTTTCTGTGCCCTTCAAGGAACGTGGCTGTCTTTGTGAGTCTGGCTGGGCCACCAACATCATCTAGTCCAAATTTTGTCACAGCAGCCATGCTGCATGCGGCAAATTCAGGATGGAATGGGAAACAATGCCTTCTTACACCCCAAATGATGTGTAAACTGAATGTTGAGCAGGATGGCTCAGTGGTCTAAATCGGGGATGTGGTCATGGGGCTGTCAGGCAAGGCATGTCCAGAGGAAGGAAGTAACTGTTGTCAAAAAGTACACTTACAAGTTAGGGAAAGGCACGTGCCTCAGTCCTTCTTTTTTCCAGCTAGTCCTAGGTGTGCAGAAGCAGCAACAGAGAGCCACCCCCATTGCAAGGGGTAGGACTAGATGACCCTTCTGGTCCCTCCCAATTCTACAATTCTATGATTGTATTCTATAAGCTCGGCTTGTGTATCTCCCCCATCCGAGCTGCGTGCAAGCAGGAGAAGGCTACAGCCACATGTAACTTTCTGTTATTTTCTCTTTAATCCTCTCCTGGTCCTGGGAGAGGGTGGAGCAGGAGGGGGGGGCACGGGGAGGAGGTGTGGAAGCCCTGACATCTCTCTCTCTCTCTCTCTCTCTCTCTCTCTCTCTCTCTCTCTCCTCCTGCTCCTGTTCTTCACTCTCCAATCCTTCAGATTCTCCTGCCTCAGATTCTCATCTCTTGGCTGTTTCAGGCTCCCCCAGACCACTACAGTGGTACCTCGGGTTACAGAAGCTTCAGGTTACATACACTTCAGGTTACAGACTCAGAAATAGTACCTTGGGTTAAGAACTTTGCTTCAGGATGAGAACAGAAATTGTGCTCTGGCGGCGCAGCAGCAGTGGGAGGCCCCATTAGCTAAAGTGGTGCTTCAGGTTAAGAACAGACCTCCGGAACCAATTAAGTACTTAACCCGAGGTACCACTGTAATCCCTTCTTCCAAGTCAGTCTCCAACCTGGCTTCTCTCAGTGCCCACTCATCAGAATTCAGCCACCACTCCTCAGGGTCTAGCCAGTCCATGGTAAAGGTAAAGGTAAAGGTAAAGGGACCCCTGACCATTAGGTCCAGTCGTGACCGACTCTGCGGTTGCAGCGCTCATCTCGCTTCATTGGCTGAGGGAGCCGGCGTACAGCTTCCGGGTCATGTGGCCAGCATGACTAAGCTGCTTCTGGTGAACCAGAGCAGCGCACGGAAACACCGTTTACCTTCCTGCTGGAGCAGTACCTATTTATCTACTTGCACTTTGACGTGCTTTCAAACTGCTAGGTTGGCAGGAGCAGGGACCGAGCAATGGGAGCTCACCCCATCACGGGGATTTGAACCGCCGACCTTCTGATCAGCAAGTCCTAGGCTCTGTGGTTTATCCCACAGCGCCACCCGCGTCCTGTGCCAGTCCATGGACTCAGCTACATTAGGAAAGAAACAGCGATTTGGTACCATTGGTCCATGCTTACCTGTCAGGAGTAATCATGGACCAATGGTACCAAATAGTATGGGAAATAGCCTTATTAGAAAAACTAACCAATAAACTGAAACTGACACTGAGACAAATGGATGAAGACGCCTTCACCCTGGTATGGCTCCCTTTTATCACATACACAGCCTAACAAGACAACGA